TTAAGTCTGTTTTTAAGAAAATGTGGGACAGCGGTGGAATTAGCACTCGATTTTAACATCTACCGAGGAATAAGGTCAAGAAGACCTTCTGTTACGTATTGCAGTAAATTGTTGAAAAAATTTAGGTCATTATTTGAAAAAAATATTGTGCCCATTAAGATTGCTTGTAAAGTTATTTACTACTTACTTGTTAATATTATCGAAGTCAAAAATACTACGTTGTACTCTTGTCTTTGCGGAAATGGCAACTGGAAGGCGACAATGAATTAGTGCATGATCACTTGCAAAAAGGTCATGATAGAAATCCATAGATAGAGGGGAGGTACCATTAGCAAAAATAAAGTCTAAAAAACTATCGTTTACTCGATATCAACGACCGGTAAAACTGTTACGTAAATATACGCATGCTTTTCATTACTCTATCCGTAAATAGGATATTTCAAGGCTCTGCCTTCTGATTATGGAACTTACTGGTTGTCGGCTATGCTCTGTTTCGACAGATCTTGGTGTGACCTTTATGATGCCCATAACTGCGGTTTTATCCGAGCCCATCCGTGACACGAAATCTACAATGGTAACATGGCAGGTCACCCACACGCGCTTCGAAAACCTCACGGCGCGTCAACAGCCGCCGACAGGATAGTTTGATCGTCATTTGTAATGATGGTAAAACATTAATGAACGCTTCATACCGTGGTCACTATGACATTTCTCATTTTTGTGGAATTTGAGACACCGTCATCGAATGCGTCCATTAGCTTGGCTTCCTACAGCACGCAAACACCAGCCGCCTGCACTTAGCGTCTACTGCCCTCACATCCCCATATTGTTATCGGAACACGCTGGGTATTGAAGGAGAGGGTGGGATCGTCCCAGAAAAAGTCGGCTTCGTTTTGAGCAAGGGCACGGGCCAGTCACAACCGCGGGCGTCTTCAATGGCCGACGTATCGCTATCTGTGTGGGTGCTGGTGCACCGTGTGTGGCACGCGGTAGGGAATGGCCCCAAAGTCGTTTATAGCCTGCTTTACTTACATAGACTAACATACATAACAGAGTTGAGTGAGAGGGACCAGTTCAGCCTGTAGTACGAGCTTACTTCCTCTTAAGAGAAGCAATAAAATGTGCTTTGAAAGAATTCTGGCATGCTGATAGTCATGGTTTGCAGTGCTGTCGACCTGCACGATAACTCAGTCCTACTCAGGACTGGGGATAAGGCCGCAAATATTCCATCTCAATGCGGCTTTTATGACGTTCTTGTTTGTGAGAGATCAGTAATCCATAACGAAGACCTAGTGCTCGTGATAAGTGATGGATCAGGCCGTGTGTTTCACGCACAAACAGCTACTCACCTTCGGCTAAAGGATAGGCTGTATCTACAGTGGCTCACGCTGCGAAGAGCAATATGATGATGGAGTTGTGCTCCTTTTGTGGAAAAACATTGTTTGAAGCAAATTCGTCAACAATCTAGATGAATTGGCAATCATGTCAAGCGTCTACCGCGACGCGAAGTTCCCTGGGGAGGAATATTTCTCTGTCATTGTACACTCCTGTCTCATCAATAAGCTTTGTTCAATGAGGCAACGGTTTTGCTCGTTGGCTGAAGACCTGAGGGTTGATAGCGTTTACATCGACTTCAAGAAGGCCTTCGATAATGTCTCATACCATCGATGACTCTACAATGCCCCAGAATCTGGGAGTAGTGAAAAGCTGCTAAATTAGCCAGGGGTTTCTCTGTCGGCCGATCGCCGTTTGTGTGTATTAGCACTGCGGAATCAATGCAAGTACAAGTTGTGCGTGGAGTATCTCAGAGCTCTGCGTTTGCACCATAGCTGTTTTAAATTTATTTCAATGAATACATGAGTGGAATTGACTGCAAGTGAGTCATGTTTTCAGTGTATGGCGAGGGACCAAATTCACAGCTGATTAAGGGTTTCTGGTAGGAGAACTCGACCGCCTATGTGAGTGGCCTGATGTAAGCGTAATCTTAAGAAGTGCGTCGCATTGTTTGTGAAAACGGAGAAGGAAAGAGCAAGCGGAGGTGCTCACAAATACCTCCGTGACGGAAGATGTTTGGCGAATTTGACTGGACAGTAAGACCTCGTAATCATAATTCTGTCATCCTTACAGCCCACTCCTCAATGTGACAGGGCGGATAAAACGGCGACCGATGTTCGCATCGCTGTTAAAAGATCTTTCATAGGTGTGGATAAACAGCTAGTTGTGAAGGTATAGGTAATCCTAATTCGTTCGCAAATTGAATATGGAATTCAGACGCGGCGTCTTTATCGCATAAAATGATTACAATTAGCTGAAGAGGGTTCCACGTAGGGCGATGAAAATCATAAAAGGCCTGGGGACTTTGGCATGCAAAGTCAGACCTGATGCGCCTAACCAATTTCCCCATGATTGGCAGATCCCAGATCTCTTGGAGACATGCCAGATTGAGAGAAACCGGGACTATACTCTGCACCTCAATGATTTCTTTACATTGGCCCCAATAAATTATTCATGATGGAGATCTGTCAAAACCCGATGAACGTCATTCCATCTGGGTGTTTGTAGATACTCGTTTTCGAAGCGATTTTTTGGTGTCTGGGATGGACTTTGCGAGGGAGCAATAGTGGCAGGCCCTACATAACTATTTAGCGAGAAACGTAGCGTGTATTTCCTCGAAAAATGCCGCACAAAGGGAGAGACAAGATTTTCTCCAGCAAACCAGCGCTTTGCCCATACCAACTGATATGGCGGAGGGCTAATATTTTTGTACGTCACACTGTCTGCCATACCTGATGGTGTTGGGGCTTCAGCAGCACACCGTTGCAGTAATATTCTGTAAGGTGTATGTGTTACGGACTATATGATAGAAGTATGTTTGGTTTAAGTCAAATACGGCCTAGACTCCTTGATTGAGTCTTCAAACGCATCGCCTACTACCCTTAGATATATTGAACCCTGCCGAACTAAACCGTTTCCTTTTGATAACCGCTAACTGTCACTGCGGGACTGTCTACGGCCAGCCATGGACTTTATCTCGTGATTTCATTTCATATGCGGCGCACCACAGTGCATTTAACGAGAAGCGTATCCGTAACCTATATAAATAACTTTATTTTATGATGGTTACACACAATTGCACTGATAATCTCTGCTATACATGAATATGATCGTAAGGGCTTCGCCCGCAACCCTTGATAGTTCGACCATCGCATTCGGCGATGCTCGCCGTGTGCTGCACAGCAAGATGAAGCAGGCACGGTAACTTGCGAGTGAACTAGGTTATAGTAGTAGTTGGCTTACGCAGCATCTACCGCAATTTCTCTTGTCCCTGTGTCAAGATATGGTCGAGAAGACCGTGGGTGAGGGAGGGCGCAGATGGGTGGCGCTGCCGGACCCGCGCCTTAGCATATCACTCCACACATCCTGGTCGACAACAAGCCAGTGTAATGAACGCCAAAATATGCCAACTGTGGAGCACGGGGAACGAAGACGAACTGCGAGAGGTCAGTTTCTTCATTTTCATGACGGCTCTCATGTCCCAATGTAACTGGCGACAGAACAGGCTCGAATAGAGTTATCATAAACTTAGTGTACGGAACCGTAGGATAACCGGTATTATATGACCTACAGGGACCCCATTACAATTCCGAAAACCTATTTCCTCGAGGCCGCCAAAAACTGAAACGGAAACTCAGGGGCTCACGGGACTTCCGGCTTATGATCAGTGCAGCATAAACTCCTACATATTCTGTCGAAGCAAAATGAGTAATTACTTTTACTTCATCAGGAGTGACCAGGGCACTCAACCTGACGGAACTTGCCGACCACGCCCTGTGAAGGAACTTGATTGTGAAGTTCATACAAAGCGTCAACCACGCAAACATCTCGATCTGAAAAACCGGAAATCCAAGCACACAGTTATATGCAGACTGCCGGTAAAGTAGCGCGGATAGTAATTTCTTAGACACTTTGAAGTGGGACATTTACCAGAGTCCCCACTTGTTCTATCAGAAGAAATCTTACCGTTGAAGGGAACAAACTAACATACTGAAGAGGGGTACAGTTACATATATCCCAAGGGCCAGATGATGTCGCAAAATCCTTTTCCTACTCCAAAGCAGAATATATGTTACAAATCTCCATCGCAGACTACAAATATCAAAGTCGCTTGGACATCGGTTCCCTGAAAGATGCATGGCTCATTGGAAAGGCGAATTACATAAGGCTTAAAAGAGCTGCCTGTTCATTAAAGAAAACGCGGTAAAGAAGAAAAATGTGAGAGATGACCCTTCTCGTTGGTAGAAGAATATTAATACAGTTGGTAAGATTTGTTTGGAAGATGCCGAAATTTATTCGTGCTAGTTCGTTACCCATGATTGTGAGGAAGTCCTTCTAGCAGCTGTTTACAGTATCAAATATCATTCATCATGGTAGCTAAACGATTCCTTCCTAAACGACTGCTGAGCAGCTAATTGTAACTGTGTTTTGTTAGACTTGTAGCGACATAAAAAGGCGTTTAATTCGAGTGCGCCAAAAAACTTTGACAACCTTCAATAGTGAGTTATGTTCACACTGCATTCTTGCGGCTAATTTGTTCTTTCTAATTCTACTCGGGATAGACCGGTCTCTGATCTACATTTGTGATCCTGTATTGTTCATATAACTTTCTGTTTCATTTCTGTGCATAATTATTTCTATTAGGATTCATCCTCACCCTTCTTTGTGTTGATCAGATTATTGTAGCCTTATTTGCTATTCATGTTGCCTCAACTTTTCAATCAGTACGCGTGCTAACTTTCATTCTCAGTGTCAACAAGCCAGTCACCTACCCCAATTATCTGACCTCTGACCGACATCGGTTAATTATTTCCAACGATTATGCCAGCCAGCCGATAGCCGGTATTCACACCTTTGACCTTCCGGCCGTGTGAATTGGTGACATCGCGTTGTGGCTGCGCGTTGTAGAGTTCCGTTTCGCCCTCTACCAGATTACACTAAAAGATATGAAATTTCTCTATGTTGTGGCAGAACTCCTAACGGATATCGCCACCAACCTTCGTGACACCATAAATTGTCCGCCCACAGAAACTTCTTGTCCTGCCCTTAAGGAAACTCTCGTCTCCCGCATTTCCCTATCAATGCAAAAATGTCTGCAGCGTTTGATTTATGAGGAGACTTTTGGTGACGGGAAGCCTACGCAGCTTCTTATGCGTTTGGAGCAGCCGTCGGACGGACAAAAACTGAATGTCACGGTGTTCAAGCAACTGTTCCTCCAACGGTTACCCTGTTCTGTGCAAACCATCCTTGTGCCTAAAATTCCTTCCTCGATTGTTCCGATGCTCTCAGAGACTGCTGACCGTATACTCAAGTACTACCAGCCTCCTGTTACGGTAAACGTTGCTAGTCGTATCACAACTGCGCCCACAATCGAGAATGCCATGAAACACCTAGACGACTTCACCCTCGAAGCTTCCCAGCTTCGTGCTTCACGTGTCTCTCGCCCTCGAATTCCGTCCATTTCTCGCCGTCAGAGGTCTCCACTGCAGTGTCAAGTCCGTCCACACTGGACGATTTCTGCTGGAACCGCCGTGGTACTTATGGGTTAAAAGCCCATCACTGCCAAAGCCCATGCCGTTACAAGAAACCTTTGGCGGAATACTCACCTGCTGACAATCAGTGGCGACGAACTTGGCCGGCCCAAACTCCCCAAATCGCCTGCTCCATATTTTCGACAGAAGTTCCTCCCGTAATCTCCTCGTAGACACTGATGCAGACATCAGTCGAAGTCCACCCTCTTCAACTGACCGTAAGTCACTCAACTCTTTAAATTTTCTTCAGGCAGCTAATGGTAGCCCCATTAAAACTTTTAGTCAACTATCCCTAGCTTTAGACTTTGGGCTACGACGTACTTTTCACTGGGCATTTACTATTGCTGATGTTCATGACGCCATTCTCGATGCCGATTTTATATACTTTTTCGGTCTCCTCGTTGATATCAGGTTCCATAAACTTATCGACCCAATGACATTCTTCCATTCTAATTACTCAACTAGTACCACTTCATCCGCTAGCCTATACGTTTCAAGAATTCCTTCGTTCACTCCCTATCATCTTTAACTTTCGGAATTTCCGTCTATCGTCCGGGGTTCACAGTTTGACCAGCCTACTAAACATCCCGTCATGCATTATATTTGGACCACGGCATCGCCCCTATTTAGCAGTCCTCGTCGTTTAGCATCCAACAAGTTAGCTATCGCCTAGGCTGAATTCAGTCAGATGATGGAACTTGGCACAGTTCGACCCTCCACTAGTCCAAATGCCGTCCCTATGCACAGGGTTTGTAAGAAGTCTCTCACGGACTGGCGTCCATGTGGCGATTACCGACGATTAAACAACTGCACTGTCCCTGACAGACATCCACCCCCCCCCCACACACATCCATGACTTCCTCTATTTTAGCCGGGGCAACAATATTTTCAAGCACTGACTTATTAAAAGCCTTCCACAAAATACCCGTTGATCCAGAAGACATCACAAAAATGGCGATCACAACTCCATTTGCTGTTTTCGAGTTCGTTAGGATGCCTTCTGGACTCCTTAACTCCGCCCAAACTCTTCAAAATTTCATTAACGAGGTACTTCGCGACTTACCCTTCGTCTTTGTTTAGGTTGATTATCTTCTAGTTGCAAGTTCCAGTGAACGGAAACACCTATCTCTAATTTTTGGGCGGTTGATCCAATTCGGTGTTTTTATCAACGTCTCCAAATGCGTTTTTGGCGTTCCCTCTCCCTTGTTTTAGGACATCGCATAGATGCTTGCGGTTTCCATCCCGAGGACGCTAAATGTTCAGTTGTTCGTGAGGTCCCTGTTCCCACTTCATTCCAACAACTGCACCCTTTCATAGGTCTTGTCAGTTTTTATCGACGTTTCATCCCCCCGTGCTCAAGTAATTCTATCCCTCACAAATCTTTTACGGGGCAACGACCGCGAATTTTCTCTCCGTGACACAGCCATGGACGCTTCCCAACGTGTTAAAGAGACCCTTGCACATACAACTGCTCTTCCCCACACCCTATCTGCATCCTATCTGATGCCCCGCCGTCCATTGTTGCTGACGCCTCTAATTGCGCCATAGGTGCAGCCTTCCAGCAAGAGACATCAACGGGCATCCAACCCATATCATTCTAGTCTGACAAATTGACACCCGCCTCCCAAAATCGTTATAGCACGTTTGGTAGAGAACACCTTGCCATTTATTTCGCCATTAATAATTTTTGCAAATTTGCTGAAGGCAGAAATTTTCGCTTTTACACTGACCATAAGCCTTTTTATGTCTTTTCCACGCCTTCCGACAAGAACTCGCCCACTGATGCCCGCCATCTTGATTTTGCCTCTCAGTATACGACAAATGTTCGATTTCTTAAGGGGCCCTCTAATCAGGCCGCTAACTGTCTATCTCGATTTGGAATTAATGCCATCACCCGTCATTCCACCGACACGGAGCACGTGGCCAAGTTGCAGCAGCAGCCTAATTTTTCTGAACAACTAGCGCATACTGGCCTTCAGTTTGAAGTCAAATCTTTGTCGTGCTCCGTTTTTTGCATTCTCCGCTCATGTCACCGTCAGTCATGAAAGGCAACATTTTATGGGCCTTCTTTGTAAATGAAGGTCATAATACTTGCAAGTATCAAACTGAATCTGCGCGCCTATTTCTGGCAGAAACGTGATTCAGTCAGAATCTACGTGACACATCTTGTATTGAGAGTAGGAATTTAAAGCTGGATCTAGATGAAAGAGACCGCTTGTGTTACTTCATTTGCCTGGCATAGATTTGTTGCCCACTTTTCTCTGAATAATACAAGTGACAATTTTGAATCACACATTTATGGGCAAGTTCAAATACGTGATTATTACATACCAAGACCTTTTCCATGCATGTTAAAAATAAACGAAAAATGTCTGTTTCCAAAAGTACAGTGTAGACGCGTGATAGGAAACCAGTGGTATTCCTTGGTCGTGAGTGAAATGTACTGCTCTTCATTCCTCATCCCCTCCTTAAACATCAACCAAGTCAACTCCGTCATCTTCTGTACCGAGTACGCCATTTTCAAGACCATGGGTTGAGGTCTTTTCCCTAGAGTCCGTATACTCATCGGTGTTCTCATGAATGTCGTCGGTTTCGGCGTCACTAGTATTGAAATCCTCATCGCCGCCCTCGCCGTCTTCCTCGTTCTCGTCGTCTCCGCTTCCTTCTTCATCCCCGTCAGTTCCGCTCTCTTCCTCATCCGTTACCCCCTCGCTGCCTTCCTCATTCTCGCCGTCGTCGCTCTCACCAGTGCCATCGTCACCCTCGTATCCTGGATGAGATTTTATAAGAAAGCAATGAATATGCATACAGTTACAATCTTGTCTTAGCAAACCTACTAGAAATTGTTTATACTAATTATTCCCGACTTGCGTGTGAAGGTATTACTGCAATCACAGGTGCCACGTTTGCGTTTTATGACTTCCGATGCCGTTGAATATTTTAAAGCTGGTGAACTAAAATCACCATCAATGTGTGTTTTCAGTCTTACTGGGATTCAACTGCAAACGAATCAAAGTTATTGATTGTAAACCTCGGTGGTTAATTTAAGTTTAAAAAGTAATTCCTCTGGTAGACTATTTTTGGTAGAATACCCTGCCTTATCTCTCCACTGTCAGTAGCGAACCATAGCTTCTTTTCCAAATACTCACCCACACACATTATTTCTAAAGGATCATTTTTATGGAATCGGAAGAAATCCAAGTTAGATATCAAATATTTCATCTGTGACCACTTATTAGTTTACCAAAAAGTTGTGTTTCAAAGTAGACGCGTCTGTGTAGTTGAGATGTAACATTTATCGACAGTATTCTGTGTCCGGCACAATCGAAATATTGATATTTTCCATAACCCCCTTCTCTCATGCTCCTATGTAACCGCGAACCAGCTACTGCATTACGTATGACTACTGTATAACTTGGAGCTAGTCTGCATTGTTTCGCCCGCTGAAGTATGCTGCGTAGCAAAGCGTCTGACACTTTATATGACCGTTTGTATTTCAACATCATGCGTACACCACTGATGATCAGCTGTGGTCTACAGTCTTAATGAATGATTGATCTCAGATACTCTGGTTGTTATCACAGGTTTTTGGTACAACGGAATTACTGACGGGAATCCAGGAAGCGTGTAACTTTGCAAAACGCCCTACCGCACACTTTCATTTGGACGTTCTTCATACCCATAGGCCAAGACAATGTATTCAGTGATAGAACATGGCTGAAATGCTTTGGTTGGAAACTTACGTTCGTTTTCCCAATCAATGACAGTAGATAGGTAGCTGTTGGAGGTGGAACAGAAGACGTACTCAAATTGATGGCCCCGATTAGGGCGCTGCAGTGTGTAGGTGTATTCTACCACATCCCCTGTGTCATTCTTTCCTAAAAAAGACGTGATAAAAATCGTGGTTTAGTTTTTTTAGCTCCACTTCTGGTTTAAATGCTCACAAAATGTCAACCAATGAAATCAGAACATCCAACACAAATTTCGGCCAGGTCAGCCATCATTCCTTATCGGAGGAACACTAGACCTCAGCCGACCTGTTGGTTGGTTGACTAGAGGGGTCAAATTTTTCCGAAGTAGGTTTTTTTGCTCAGCTTCCAACTAGGGGGATTTTATATTCCTGAGACGAATATGGAGGAGGACTTCGCTGTTCTTGCTAATGGACTGCGATTGGGATAACCGGGATTGAGTCAGCTCGAGACTCACGCGATTAGTTCCCCTCACGAGAACTTTTATCTTTTTTCCCTTGAAGGTCTTAACGGATCTTGTTAAATGATCCGCGACGTGTGAGTTGGGGTCATTCCTCCTTTGCCGCCGCATGTTCGGTCATCTGCAACCAGAGTAATCCCCTGCTTTTCTTGCGTATTTGCTTTGCCACTACTTCCATCAGATCCGGCAGGCGACTGTGAGCGTTTTCCACTGTGGCAGCGGATCTTTCGTCCTCATTACTTGGCGGCTGATGGGCGCTTCCAGTTTGCGTGAAATCCCGACTCCGAGTGCTGACAGGAGGCATCTAACAGTTTTCTGAGAAGTTCTTAGCGGGCGGGAGTGTTCGTCGAAATTTGAGGTCGGCACAGTTTTTCGTTTTGTCTTATTTTGGTGTGCACCAGATGACAAAGCTGCGCTGGAAGCCGTCCGCTCCGCGTATCCGTCGAATTTTGTAGTTCCGTTATCTTGTTTTCTTGTTCACTGCAATGCACCTCATGGACGCTGACAAAACGTTTAGGCACAACTCTTTCCTTGCTGGTGAAGTCGTTGCTGTCGTTTTATTGTGTTTTTCACATGTCTATGCACCTCTGCGGCAGATGAGGGTAGATCGAAGAAGAGCAGCTGATTGCTACCTTCCTAGTCCGTCAGGATTTGCATGCTCTGAAAAACGACGTTGAGATGTTCTTTACATATTAACTACTACTACTACTGACTTCAGAAATCAGTGAAATTATTTGGCTGCGTCCGAGGTCATTTTTAAGTAAGGTCTCCGTTGTCAACAAATCACTGTTAATTTCGCTCGCCAGCCCCTTTACGAGGCCAGTTATTCACCAAACATAGAATTTGCCATCGTTCAGCAAGCCCTCTGCCTTCTGAAGGTACACAGTCTGTCCTATCCGGCACGACGGTGAAACGCCCGACAGTGCGATAACCAAGTCTTTGTTGTTGCTGAGGCTACCTGGACAGAGTACTTAGCTGGGTACAGAGCGCGCATTGGGGAGCATTGTTTCTAGCGAGGGTATCCTGGATCCGAATTGTTAAACAACTATCTAGAACTGAACAAAGTGTAGCAGTTAATGATTCAGATGCGGACAATTAATCTATCGTCTCACCATGTGTGACAATTTTTGACAAATGCGCGAGCTATTAATTATGGTAGGCATACGGTTACACACCAACTAAGCACCATAAGTACTGCAAGCCTCGTGCGTTAAGTATCTCTGCATGCTGCTATCTCTAATGAAGTGTCCGAGTGTGAATCCGAAGCGTCAAACAAATAAAATTCTTCCTCCGGCAATCGAGTCTCCTCCTCAACTGTTTCCTGGAACTCACCTTGTCGCCTGTAACGACAACTCCGCAACACAATCTGTACACTAATTACGGAAAAAGTAGCGTCTTATCATCACGAAAAAGGCTTTTTGATGATTCAGAATCTTAAAACTTTGCGTGACCTGCAAACTTTACCAGAGACGTGGCCCTACCAGACTCACTGATAAACAATCCGACATTTCAGTTTACTTTTTAAATGGCAGCTATGAAAAAGACCCATCCAATAGGTGGAATACGAGGTGTCAGTTCTCAGTCTCATCCGAAAAACCATCGATAAATATTCACCCAGGTAACACCAAACAAATGGAATTTCACAAACCGCACTTTCTTGAACGGGTCTCTCAAGATCTTGACATTTAATGCCATTTCAAATAAGACCTATTGTTCGAGTGCTTAGAAACGGAGCAGCCTTTTCTTAATATATAGTCAACTAGAGAGATTTACACTGTGCATGGATCTTTGCATTTCATTTAATTTCCTTGCGGATTTGCCTTCAGGTGATCTAGACCGCAGGGAGTTAGCTTGAATTTTGGCTCAGTGAGGAGAACGACAACAACGTAATTACATACAGCGTCAATTTGACAGTTTATCTCCCTAGCCTCTTCCACCAAACTGTCTACAAATACATTCGGTTATGAAGAATTGATTAATTAAAACAATTATCGCTAACTCACCGCAGAAGGGCGCCGAGAAATTTCGACACAACTCTCTATCGGGCGTGAACATTACTACCTGAAGGAAGAAAAATCGACTTCAGCCAAACAAGTATTTTGACGATAAAATTTGTAATGCCTTAACAATTAGTCTCCTTAAAGGACCGAAATAACTTCCCTGCAGAAAATTGTACATTGTCTAGGCATGACAATGAGGTCATAACTGAAAAGTCAATAGTAACCTTAGGTGCCTTGTATCAATACTATGCTGGCAGTCGGGTGATGAGCTCGAATTCGCAACGAATGGATAAACTTAAAAACAGCTGCAAACGCGTTGGCAGATGTGAAGGACAAAAACATACCCACGGAGACGCTGAACACGAACTTTTCCTTGTGCTGCATGTTATTTCGACTTGCTTTTCTCCCTTAGCGAAGATCCGTAGTGGAGAAGACAGGTTTGGCTGAAGACAATCTATATTTGGTATAGAATAAGTGTTTTTTTCTCACACTCAAATTCCGCTCTGTCATTACTAGTTTCAGTTTTTTGGTAGAAAGAATTTTGCAAAAATTCACGCTAGTTTAATTTTTGTAAGGAGTGAACACACCACCGGCAAGAACCTCTGTCTAATTAACTCATAGAAATTAACAAGTACTTATGTGAAAGTAATGTTTTACTTCCTCTGAGTTTGAAAGAGTTATAGATGTTTGTGGGGTCGGGGTCATACCGACTAACCAGTTCTCACCGAGTACGTATTCGTTGGTGTAATTTATTTACTGATAAGTGAACCCACCATCCACCTGAGAGGGCGAGCTACGTGATTAGGTTAAAGAGCTAAGTTCCGTATATGGTTCGATGGCCACCGCTGGCTCAGACTCTCAGGTCTGACAGGTAACCAGTCACAAACGATGCAGCAGCATTACATTCGGGGCACTACGGGGCTCCACCCCGTGGACTCGGAATTCTTACCTCTTCCATCCTTCCTCACATTTACGACTTCTGCCGTGGATCCTGGACACTGTCAAGCCGGCAGTAGTGCCAGCGGAAAAAGGACAATATCGAGTTGGACCCTGTGGAATACACTATACAGTCAAAATGTTTGCGATCTGAAGGCTGGGAAAGCAATTTAGCATGCATTACCGGTCGCTGTGCGTCTATCTGCGAGGGTTCTGAATTGAAACCCATCTCTCAACGGGGCAAACGCATTCTGGAACCTGACCACTGAAAGCACTTTCACCATAGTTAAAAAAGCTATCAATCCCATGCGTTGTCATAATTAATTTCCAGTGCGGCAACCCCGAATTCATCTCTACCGAAGAAGGAGACAGCTGAAACTAGACCCGTCTGTCTGTCGTTTCTGGTAGTTTTTACTTGCTCTTCATTTATTCAAATTACTTAACACCGCTGTCCACTGGAAACAGCAAAAAGCATTCGAATAACCTCAGCAACGACTGTAGTTAGTGCAAAGATTGAGTATTCCTCAGGCTGTCCACATCTGTAATCGGCGACAGCTAACCCTCCTGTGTTGACCATACCGACGCTCCTGCTCCAGAGAAGGAATTCCGACCCATCATGGCCATCTGCCATGTTAATTGGAGTATCATTTCGGTAATCCCAAAATACGAGCTCACTCACTCTATCGGTAAGTGACAGGCATGCGCTAGAATAGCAGTCGCACCCTATTTCGGCCTGTCATATTTCATTTTAAGTCCTTCCACCCACATGAATGTGACCTATCGACGCCGGTGATTGGTCCTCCCAGGGCATTGTTTGACATGCCGGTCGTGTGCACACAGCCTGTTTGGAGATAGCTACTGAAGGAGACGACAACGAGTCTATGAGACCATGCCAATAAACATTAGCAGCCTATCGAGGGTAGATGCTCCAGTCTTCGTGCATTGGATCCAGTGGTACATGCAACACATCCGATATACTCGAGTATGGGACAAAAACCCATCTTATGACGTCAACTCTCTGAATTAGCTTCTGTGTCCTTTAACAAATACTGTACTATCAATGTATACGGATGTGTCCTTATTAGACGCGTTTCTATAATAGCTTAAATTAGGACCTACATTGATCAGCCTTGGTCCACTCTCCGTCAGGGTAGAAGAAGTTAGTCACATATCCGTATCGACCCTTTGCGAAGAATTTGGGCAGTTTGAATCCGAGCCAAATGCGCTCCTGTGGGTTGCATATTGTCACTTCCGTCAGGTACATCTGCGTGTGTGCAACTGAGAAGGAGAGAGAAGACATGAAGCAACATTGTTCCGCAGGCCATATGCGCTTATAGTTACGCATCTCTTAGGGAAGCTTGCGACACGGATATAGCCAATCGACTTGTTGAAAATCTGGATCACTCTAAGCAACACCGTTTGTATGTTCTTGCACAAGAAGCGTAACCATTGCAAAATTACACTTCGCTTTCCATTACATGATTAGTATTCGCAGTAGGAATAAACTGAGAAGTTCAGGCGTTAATGTAATCAGAGGGTTACAATTTAAGGGAATAGTTGCAATCTAAACGAATTTAAAATCATCGATACTGATAATATTCATGGGCGTATTAGAAGCAGTAGTTCCATTACTGGCGGTGAACATTTAGTAAAAGTAGCGGTATTGGTAGTGATAGTTATATTACTGATAATAGTTTAGTACGGGCAGCATTAGCAACGGTGGCTGTGAGGAGGACAATTTCTAACTGAAAGTACTATTGAGGTACGACGCAATAGCTCCGTAAGCGTGATAATGTATTGACAACGCCTAATCCATTATGGGACTACCTTAATGTGCAGTAGTTTAAAAAACAATTTTACTCAGTAGATGTCTCCTTCTCCCATATTCATAAATAGGTCTAATTAATTTGTACTAAAGATAAATGTTTCGGCATAAAAAATTGTTTCTCAAGATTATATGTGATGACTTTAAGTGCAGTCACCCTATGGCGCTTCATGGTACATTTCCGTCTGGATTTTTCCGGTGTTGTTTAAAAATGATAATAATAACCATAAAGCAAAAGATCTAAGTCACTGACTACTTAGTAATATTAACTGGCTTCCTAAATAACCTCATATAATTTAATATGTGCAAGTGCGTTGCTTTTCGATTGCAAACCATCCAAGGAACGACGCTAGTACTCATGTGGTTTACCTTTTTCGTACTATTTTGCGGCCCACGCGAAATTACTCGAATAGCTCAGAAAGCATGCGATAAAGTCATCTCAAATGTCGACTTCGTCAAAACAAATATCTGCCGAATGTTTTTGTTTCAGAAAATGGGGCAGTGCAGCTTTCATGTAAGCACCAAACTGTGAGAATTCGCCAGATGCCTGATGATTATTAGTATATTCTTATGCTCGAGGGTTTAGTAGTTCTAGCAAAGTGCTCTACGTGGTCCACATCCGCTGCGATTGTCATCGAGCGTTGATAATTTCGTCCATGTGGAAACGCATACGAAAGTGACATTCTAGAACAATATGCATTCCGCTGTTGCTCATGAGCAGGCTTGCGCAGCATCCACCGCACTCGCTTTCCCCTCATCCATCAGACTCCGACAGCAAGACAGCATCAGTACAACCAGAAAATGGGGTGGGTGAGCATGACTGGCCAGTGATCCTCGTCGCTCTGATCTCTGTTGGGATGTTGCTGTTGTTGTTGGGGTAAAATCCTGGTCATTTGCTGTGTGGACCAGGGGATGCGTTGGCATGCATAAGAGCGACTCCGGCTGTGCCAACCACCTGCGCGCTCCCCCAACCTCCGGTCCTCTTGACTCTGTCTTGACACCGGGTCCAGTTGTGGAGTGGGGAGGAGAGAGTGCGATAGATGCTGTGCAAGTCTACTATCACTGTAAACAAACTCACGCACAAGTCACTGCCCCTGATTAAATTTTCTGTGGAGCACACGGTGAACATAGTCGAAACCGACGGTCGCACTGCCAAATGACAAGACTAAGCAGCCCCCTTACCCATACCACACACGAATTACTGGCTTTCCATGAAAAGAGCACGACTAACCTTCCGTGATAGAGCAGTTCAAGGTGTCCGAGGGGTCCACATCCGCAATGCACTTCCCGTTTCGGTAGCTGTAGTCACGGGAGCCCACGCGCAGGGACTATGAAAGAAAGGAGAGAGAGAGCGAGACAATAAAATTCAAAAACATGTTTTTGCGAAGGAGACTATAAGTTGTGTAAACACCTCTGCGCATCTTCTTTGGCGTTGTGAGTGTATGTCATCTGACTGGGACGCATGGGAATCCACATTTATGCTGCTGGCTGTACTCTGCCCACTACGGATCAAGTCGAAAAATGATACGATCCATCGAAATCTTTATCAAATCAGTACACGCCAGCACGGCTACCAACTCATGTGGTTTGCAACAAGAAAAAAAGACAAAACTGGTGGTTTTTGACCGACGTAGACTGGGACTTCCATAGTACTCTGCGCTTAGGGAGTTTGATCTGTCATTCGGGTGGTTTTGAGTTCGTTTCTCATAAAAGAGCTGGACGAGATTTCGGGAGGACTATAATCTAATTTTCGTACGCTGAAACTGTCAGAATAAATGAATAGACAATGCCGATGGCTATCGGGTACAAACTAGCCCAAACTCAGGCAGTGAATTTGAAGCCAACAATTAACCGTTAAAACTGAGCCTTTGAAAGTGTTTATAGGTGGAATCCGTAGCTAGTGTCAGAATTATGAATATCACAAAAGACATTTCAAGTAACTATACCTTCAATATTTCTTGAGCATTGGCAGGCACCTTCTGGCACCCATTTTCTGCTAACGAGCTCCATTGGGGGTTAACTCGATATAAGCCCGAAGAGGCAACAACTTCCTGCAAGTCTGAATAGACTATTTTGCCTCAGCGATACTTACGCGATCTCAAGAGTTCGTTTCTTGTAGGCAGAGACTAAGCAGTTACCTCAGATTAATTTCAAACCAATCTCGACCTAGTCTCATCCAAGTGGTTCACAGCGGGAGTCATTGGGCCGACGGCTAAGCAAATTTAATCCGTCTCCCATGAGCACCGCTCTGTTTAAATCCCACTGACCGCTACTCCTCAACATAAAACAATGTA